AATATGAATTATACTAAAAAGAATACTAATACTAACAATTTAAGTAATGCTATTGATTTTGACAATAATGTAGTATCTTTTCTTGATAATGGACAAGGCCACAATGCAAATGATCAAAGTAACGTCAATTATCTTATAAAACACGTTGATTCTAATAACGGATTTAAAACGATAATTATTGGTAATACTGATAATTATACAAATAATAATGCCGATAATAATGGAAATGATAGCATTGTAGATAATATCATTAATGACAATAATTCTGCGAATAGTACTGATTTTGATAAGAACGTTACATTTTCTATTGAACATGATCACACTGCAATAAATGATGAAGGTTGTGTCACTAATAATGCTAACAAAAATGTTGGTTGTGATAATGCTATGATAATTCCTAGTGAGTCTAATAATGAGCAGAATAGAGTAAAGGCTACTAAACTTAACATTACATTTTCCTGTAATGACAGAAATCATAATGTAGTAGATAGTACTATTAATGCTAACAATTCTGCAAATGATACTGATTTTGATAATGTGATATCTTCTTATGATAATAGTAATGGTTGTAAAACGGTAGATAGTAATATCAGTATCAATAATTCTACGAATGATAATGATTCTAATATTGATATATCACTTTTGTGCAATAATAATAACATTAATGCTAATAATTCTAAGAATAACTGTGAGTTTGATAATAATGTGATACTTTCTTGTGATAATGACAATAACTGTCATGTAAATACTGATATTGATATTAATTTTATAAACAGTAATAATTCTCATAATAATAATCTGACATTTTCCTGTGATAATGACAATTTCAATGTGTCTGAAACGGGTATTGTTCTCAAAGATGTCATGATATTTTCTTTTAACGATGATAATAGTTCTAGTATCTTAAATGATCTCACTAACGCCAAAGCTTCTATAAATTATAATGATAATGATAATAATATGATTTCCTGTGATGATGAAAATATTAATGACAATATTGCTTGTGCAAACACATTAAGTAATGATAGTGATAATAATATGATTTCCTGTGATGATATTAATGTCAATATTGCTTCTGCAAACACATCAAGTACTTTAGAATATCTACCTTCAGCATCGGAAATTACAATTGACAAAAAAACTACGGAACATGAAAGCTTCCGCAATAACGTATCTCCAACTAATAATAAAAATTCTTCAGAATCACTGATAGATCTTTCTTCTATCAATACATTTGGTTGTAGAGAAGACAATTTATATGTTCCATTTTCTCAACCTAAGGGACATCAAAAAAAAATTTTTGCTACTATTGCAAAAAGTTTTAGAGTAAAATTGCACGTCATTTAGAAAACGTGCATAAATTGGAACCTGAAGTAAAGAAATTTGTATTATTACCAAAAGGTGATCATATTTTTCAATTCTGTATAATTATTTAAGTTTATAGTATATTTTTTTATAAATATTGATTATTTTTTAAATATAATATTAATATGTTATAATTTTTATTAATATATTTACATTATATATATACATTATTTAATATTCTCATTGCAGGTAATTTAGAAAGAAAACAAATTATAGAGTCTATTAGAAAGAAAGGGAATTTCATACACAATACGGATCCTTCCTTAAATACGGGAGAATTAATTGTTTGTCGAAGGCCTGCCAAAAATAGTTGCAAAAAATGTTTTCATTGCAATAATATTGTTAATATTGAGCACAACAGCACGTAACCTTTTTATTTGATTTTTAACAGGTTAATATTAACTTGAGTCGTAAAAATCTGAAGTTTTTACTCAGCACTGCTTTTTAATTTTCTTTTCAGTTAAATTCTTACATCAGCGCGTTAATTTCTGATTATTTATATCCAAATAATTGAAATTACTATATTTATTGTTACAGAAAATAAAAATGATTGTCTGGCAATTGCTAAAAATTATTAGAAAAGTTAAGCTAAAAGTAAGCTAAAAGTCTTTCCATCTATGGAAGACATAAAAAAATTACACTCATATCTAAATAACGAAAGAAAATTATTGTATGCAAAACTTCAGAAGAAATTTAAATACGAAACATGGCTAGAACTTGCAACAGTTATATCAATGCAAGTTTTTAATAGAAGAGCAGGAAAAATAGAACGGGTTACTATTGAAGATTTTAATACTCGCGAAGGTATAACGAAAAAGACCCATTTAAATTTATATAAATCATTAGGCACAAAATTACAGCAGCTAAAAATTATTATTACTATTATTTATTTATAAATTTTATTTGTGCGTGTAATTAAATTATATATATGGTATATACATGCAAAATAATTACCCACATATAACTTTTGTATAGTTGCTGATAAATACGTAAGATTCTTAATTCGTAGGAAATTGGGACGTACAGTGCCTGTGATTTTAGACATGGAATTAGTTCAATGTATTGAACTTATATTGAACTAGCGAAAGATGCAAATGTTTTTGAAAAAAATCCGTATCTGTTTGGCATACCTAGTAGTACCAAACGCCATTTCAAATATTTAAGAGCGTGTATCCTTATGCGATATTTTTCTAAAAAATGTGATGCACAAATACTACATTCTTTAAGAGGTACTGAATTACGTAAACATATTGCTACCACATGCATTACGTTAAATTTATCTGACAATGAAGTGGATGATTTGGCGAACTTTATGGTTATATCATATTCATACTTTGATTTAATAATTTCCAAACGTAACGTTTCATTGTTGCATTAGCCTTAATTTCATAAGTTTTGGTTTATAAGGACTTTTTTCTTCTAATTAAATAGATATATTAAAAATGCACAAAAGTTGAAAAAAGGCATACAATAATTAATATATTTTATACAAAAATTAATATATAAAAAGAACTTGTGGCATATATATAATAAGATAAATAGTGTATATACCTGAATCACTATTATTAGATTATGGGACATCACGAGAAAATTCATAAACGCCATTATCGGCAGTCAATAGCAACTATAGAGATAGTTCGTATGACAAAATTTCTTGAAGCAGCATTAGATGAAAATGAGCAACAGCAATCTAATAATAGTGATTCAGGTATATACACTATTTATCTTATTATATATATGCCACAAGTTCTTTTTATATATTAATTTTTGTATAAAATATATTAATTATTGTATGCCTTTTTTCAACTTTTCTGCATTTTTAATATATCTATTTAATTAGAAGAAAAAATCAGACAAAAGTCCTTATTAACCAAAACTTATGATATTAAGGCTAATGCAACAATGAAACGTTACGTTTGGAACCTATTAAATCAAAGTATGAATATGATATATTCATTGAAATGGATTCAAATTGAGAATACGTTTCATTATTGTGTTCATTCTGCTTTACTCAATTTTTATGCATCGACATCCGCGGTTGTAGCATATATTAGCCCTTAGTTTCAAGAATTGGTTTACACATATATATACATATATAATAATTAAGGTACAAACAAAGATACTTCGAGTGCAGAATCGGAAAACGATGCCGAAACATGTATGATAAGTTCACGTAAGCTTTCTTTATTACGAACAGAAAGGAAATTACCTAAATTTCCTACCATAACAGATGGACAACAAAAATCTGTAAAAAAGAAAATCATGCATCAAAACCATACAATAGTGAATAATGACAATGATTCTGACGAAACTTATTCCCCAAAGATAAAGAAACATCGCAGTAGTAAGTTTATTTTTTCATTTTCACATATTCTATTCAGTTTTTATAAATTTATCAAATCAGAGTAAATTTTCTCTTTAATATTATTTAGTATTATATTTAGTATTATATTTAGTATTATATTTAGTATTATATTTTAGTATTATATTTAGTATTATATTTAGTATTATAATTGTGACTATGTCAAAGTATATTAATATATTAAGCTTTGTGATCATGTCTCTCAGAACAATGCGTGGATTATTTCTATTTAAAGTATTTAAACTATTAACAATATCCAAAAAATCGTCTTTACTTTCTATAAAAATAAAGTAATTTTAATTATTTAAATATAAGTAATCAGAAATTAACGCATTGATGCAAGAATTTAACTGACAAGAAAATTAAAAAGCGCTGTGTAAAAACTTTAGAATTTTTACAATTATATTAATATTAACCTAAAAATCAAATTAATATATTAAATCAATGTTATTATACTTATAAATAAAATATAATAAATTAAATTAAATTTAATATAATAAATAAATAAATAATATTAATTATAATAATTATTATTAATAAATATATAAAATTTTTAAATTTAATTATTTAAATGATAAAATTGCAAATCAATAATATGTTATGTGCTGTTGTATGCACTTAATACGTACAATATTATTGCAATGAAAACATTTTATATTACTTTAAATAAATATATAATAATGATACTATTCTGTACAATTATACATATAATACATGTTTTTCTTAAAATTCCTATTAACTGAACAATTAATGTGTATCGTCTTGTGTTTTATATTTATCACATAATAATTACAAAAATTTTTAAAAATTTGAATACCTAAAAGATTATAACTTAACGACATTTCCCATTATGTAAAAAAATGCAAATTAAAAAAAATTATTTAAATTAATTTTGAAATATTTATCTTCAGAAGAATTGCAGAAAATGTTTACACTCTTAGTTCTAGTTTCTTAATAATAATTGTTAGAATCCATGAGGGATTACATAGAACCCATAATTAAACATTGGATTTACGAAGATAATTTTTCAATTTGAGGTACTTAAGAATTTTTTATTCAAAAGCAAAGCAAATGAGAAAGTAAGAAAAAAAGACTAATTTCACAGAGATAAATAAATATCAAGTCATTAATACAGGAACAATTGCTTTCTTGAATATTACAGATAAGAAGTACCTTCGCATTGTGTAGCACAGCTCTGACTAAGCAGAACAATTGTCTCTGCCCAGTGCTGAGATTACTACCACCTTCATCCAAGACTGCATCCAAAGATGAACTAAAGAATGCACTTTACATTTCTCGAAGGTTTTGTATATATGTGCATATAGGTATACTGATCCAACGGATCCACATTCTCTCGATTAGTACCCGAGAAAAGAAACGGATTCTGAGGTATAATTGCTAAACGGGATCTGGAATGTTTTTCTTTTCTTTACAACTGTTAACATACAATGATTATTTTTTGCAAGTTTATGAATACCTTAATGTGTTCAGTTGTAACGTTTGAATATTCACGTTGTCGATTAATATACTCCCAGAACTGATCTCTGTCAGTCTAAACAACGAAGCTAGTAACGAACTTTTTCCAGCACCGGTGCGACCAACGACGTCTATTTTTTCCGCTGGTCGAGTAACGAATGTTATCTCTTTCAACGATGGCACTAAATGGTTCCTGCGAATATAATTACAAAAATTTCTTTTACCAAATGTTACAATCGTGCATTATCTTTATCAAAAAATTTGAAAATATTACCTGTACATCAAAACAACTTTTTTAATTCCACAACACTTTGACTAGGCCACGCGTAAGGTTGATTAGTGCCCATTGTATTTTCAGTCGGCACATGATCTAAATACTGTTTAACTCGTTCCACCGCAATCTCTCTCTCTCTCTCTCTCTCTCTCTCTCTCAGTCTCAGTAACACCAGCGCGATGACGCGACACGCGATATGCGACGAATCGCGAGAATAGGATTTTCTACCTATTCATATAAACGCGATGCGCGATTACGAAACCTAACATCATTTATTGCATATTTACCATTTATTGCAATTTTATAATTTAATGACAATATCACTCTCGGATCGATGTCGTTGCACGTTTATTTATAACCAAAGAGATCCTCTTTGTTTATAACGACATCGCATCTATAGATAGGATCGCAGTAAATCGCTCGTCGCGCGCTACAAATCTTCAAACTTGGTCAACTTTTTTGCGATGTCGCACTCTATAGTGCGACGGATATGACGTGCGGAAAAGCTGCACGCTCATTGGATATCGCGCATCGCGTGTCGCGTCATCGCGCTGGTGTGCAGGAGCCATAAAGGTGCCTTTACATGCTAGCATCAAGCGTCAAGCATCTACGTTTGCGCAGATGTCACATAAGATAAAAAATAACTTCTTGTGGCTAATAATATTAATAAATATAATAAATATAATGATTATAATTAATATTATATTAATTTTCAGTACTAATATGTGCTAATATTCATTTGATCTCGACTTATTCATCGTATGATCTCGTATGATTCATCTTATTATTAGCAGCAAGAAGCTGAAATCTATTTTATTTAACATTTGCGCAATGAGTTTTTACGCCGACACGTTTGATGCTATCATATAAAAGCATCTTTATATCCAAATAATCCAATAGGATCGCATTGGAGCGAGAAGTATGTTGGGGGAGAGCCTGCTATGCGAACAAACTTATAATTTGGCGGGACCGGCACCTTCCATATTTATTAGCAATATTGCATAAGATATTGCGTAATATATATAAGATTTCGGTTTACATTTAATGAAAATCGTTTCGTTTCGTTTGTACGCGATTGCATCACATTAAGTGAAAAATGTCACAATATATATTATTTTTTTGTAATTATCATAAATATCATGTAAATATAAAACACAAGAGAAGACGCGTAAAATGTCCAGTTAGGAATCGTAAAAAAACATGTATTATACGTACAATTGCACAGAATAGTAAGTATCACCATTCTATATTTATTTAAAATAATATAAAATGTTTACATTGCAATAATATTGTTAATATTGAGCACAACAGCACGTAACCTTTTTATTCGATTTTTAACAGGTTAATATTAACTTAAGTCGTAAAAATCTAAAGTTTTTACTCAGCACTGCTTTTTAATTTTCTTTTCAGTTAAATTCTTGCATCAACGCGTTAATTTCTGTGGTTATTTATATATAAATAATTGAAATTACTATATTTATTGTTACAGAAAATAAAAATGATATTCTTGCAATTGCTAAAAGTTTAAATACAAATAATCCACGTATTGCTCTGGAAAACATAAAATTAATTGTCAATAATAATAATAGTAAGTATTATAGTATTATAATTCTAAAACTACATGCAATATATTGCATTTCTATTTTTTACAGTAATTATACTTTTTTTGTAGAAACTACAGAAATACCACAAGATGCTTGCATTATCAATATGAATTATACTAAAAAGAATACTAATACTAACAATTTAAGTAATGCTATTGATTTTGACAATAATGTAGTATCATTTCTTTATAATGAACAAGGCCACAATGCAAATGATCAAAGTAACATCAATTATCTTATAAAACACGTTGATTCTAATAACGGATTTAAAACGAAAATTATTGGTAATACTGATAATTTTACAAATAATAATGCCGATAATAATGGAAATGATAGCATTGTAGAAAATATTAATGACAATAATTCTGCGAATAGTACTGATTTTGATAACAACGGGACATTTTCTAATGAACATGATCACACTGCAATAAATGATGAAAATTGTGTAACTAATAATTCTAAGAAAAATGTTGGTTGTGATAATGCTATGATAATTCCTAGTGAGTCTAATAATGAGCAGAATAGAGTAAAAGCTACTAAACTTAACATTACATTTTCCTGTAATGACAGAAATCATAATGTAGTAGATAGTACTATTAATGCTAACAATTCTGCAAATGATACTGATTTTGATAATGTGATACTTTCTTGTGATGATGATAACTGTTATGTAAATACTGATATTGATATTAATTTTATGAACAGTAATAATTCTCATAATAATAATCTTACATTTTCCTGTGATAATGATAATTTCAATGTGTCTGAAACGGGTATTGTTCTCAAAGATGTCATGATATATTTTTTTAATGATGATAATAATTCTATTATGTTAAATGATCTCACTAACGCCAAAGCTTCTATAAATTATAATAATAGTGATAATAATATGATTTCCTGTGATGATGAAAATATTAATGACAACATTGCTTGTGCAAACACATTAAGTAATGATAGTGATAATAATATGATTTCCCGTGATGATATTAATGACAATATTGCTTCTGCAAACTCATCAAGTATTTTGGAATATGTACCTTCAGCATTGGAAATTACAATTGACAAAGAAATTACGGAACATGAAAGCTTCCGCAATAAAGTATCTGCAACTAATGATAAAAATTCTTCAGAATCACTGATAGATCTTTCTTCTATCAATACATTTGGTTGTAGAGAAGACAATTTATATGTTCCATTTTCTCAACCTAAGGGACATCAAAAAAAAAATTTTTGCTACTATTGCAAAAAGTTTCAGAGTAAAATTGCACGTCATTTAGAAAACGTGCATAAATTGGAACCTGAAGTAAAGAAATTTGTATTATTACCAAAAGGTGATCATATTTTTCAATTCTGTATAATTATTTAAGTTTATAGTATATTTTTTATAAATATTGATTATTTGTTAAATATAATATATTAATATGTTATAATTTTTATTAATATATTTACATTATATATACATTATTTACATTATATATACATTATTTACATTATATACATTACTTAATATTCTCATTGCAGGTAATTTAGAAAGAAAACAAATTATAGAGTCTATTAGAAAAAAAAGGAATTTCATACATAATACGGATCCTTTCTTAAATACGGGAGAATTAATTGTTTGTCGAAGGCCTGCCAAAAATAGTTGCAAAACAGTACAAGATTTTATAAGTTGCGCAAAGTGTAAAGGATGGTTCACTAAAAATAATATCAGGCATCATTTTAAAGAATGTGTAGGAAAATCGAAAGGCAGAAATGTACAAGTTTTAGGACGTGCTTTGATGGGCAGAATTCATGAATGTGCAATTGAGACAGTAAGAAAATTTTTATTCCCAGTTTTGAGGAAAGATGATGTTACACAAAGTATTAAATATGATAAATTTATTTATAAATATTATGTATAAATATTATTTGTTTACAAATATTATAATTAAATTACACACAATATGGTATATGATGCAAAATAATAATCCATATATAACTTTTGTATATAGGTTGCTGATAAATACGTAAGATTCTTAATTCGTGGAAAATTGGGACGTACAGTGCCTGTGATTTTAGACATGGTATTAGTTCAATGTGTTGAACTAATTTTGAACCAGCGAAAGGATGCAAATGTTCCTGAGAAAAATCCGTATGTGTTTGGCATACCTAGTAGTACCAAACGTCATTTCAAATATTTAAGAGCGTGTATCCTTATGCGATATTTTTCTAAAAAATGTGATGCACAAATACCACATTCTTTAAGAGGTACTGAATTACGTAAACATATTGCTACAACATGCATTACGTTAAATTTATCTGACAATGAAGTGGATGATTTGGCGAACTTTATGGGACATCACGAGAAAATTCATAAACGCCATTATCGACAGTCAATAGCAGCTGTAGAGATAGTTCGTATGACGAAATTTCTTGAAGCAGCATTAGGTGAAAATGAGCAACAGCAATCTAATAATAGTGATTCAGGTATATACACTATTTATCTTATTATATATATGCCACAAGTACTTTTTATATATTAATTTTTGTATAAAATATATTAATTATTGTATTCCTTTTTTAAACTTTTCTGCATTCTTAATATATCTATTTAATTAGAAGAAAAAATCAGACAAAAGTCCGTATAAACCAAAACTTATGAAATTAAGGCTAATGTGTGCCACGATCATGGATGTCTGTGTAGAAATAAAAGTAGTAATAATGAATGCAACAATGAAACGTTACGTTTGGAACCTATTAAATCAAAGTATGAATATGATATATTCATTGAAATGGATTCAAATTGAGAATACGTTTCATTATTGTGTTCATTCTGCTTTACTCAATTTTTATGCATCGACGTCCGCGGTTGTAGCATATATTAGCCCTTAGTTTCAAGAATTGGTTACATATATATATACATATATAATAATTATCATAATATTGTGTTATTATTAACAGAAGAGGAAGAGATGCAAGAAACAAACAAAGATACTTCGAGTGCAGAATCGGAAAACGATGCCGAAACATGTATGATAAGTTCACGTAAGCCTTCTTTATTACGAACAGAAAGGAAATTACCGAAATTTCTTAGCGTAACAGATGAACAACAAAAATCTGTAAAAAAGAAAATCGTGCATCAAAACCATACTATAGTGAATAATGACAATGATTCTGACGAAACTTATTCCCCAAAGATAAAGAAACGTGGCAGTAGTAAGTTTATTTTCTCATTTTCACATATTGTATTCAGTTTTTATAAACTTATCAAGTCAGAGTGGATTTTCTTTTAAATATTATTTAGTATTATATTTTTATGTGACTATGTCAAAGTATATTAATTATAAGCTTAAATTTTAATGTTTTTTGGATAGAAAATTTCCGGGAAATAATAACGATGTAATGGCCGACTGCACCTTCGGCGCGGAAAGCGGGAAATTCGTAAACACAAAAAAATATGTTTGGTTTTTTGCGCCATTTTTTATATTCGCGCCATTCTGAAATTTTTCAATCGATAAATGACTTTTTTATAATAGTAGATCAATTCGAAAATTTCCGCGACGGCGACAATCGACTCGCTCAGGTCGTCAGGGTATTAGAGGGGTGAGTTCGGACGGGAGAGAGAACGGAATTCGAAGAGGCTATTTGAAATCGCTCAAATATAACCAACATTAAATATATTTAGACAATGATGAACAAAGATAGACAAAAAAATAATAGTAGAAACTTGAGTACGATGATAGGTTCCGAAAGAAATTACGATTCGTTCGATATATTACGGAGAGATCTCAGCTTGAATAACGCCGCAATACAGATAAACGAGGCCGAAATTTTATTCGAAAAAATACAATACGGCGCATGCACGGCCGAGACGCGGCGCGTTGTTATTGTTCCGCGCCTTTGAG